ACTTGAAAAGTATTTTGACATACAGAACTCATGAGTACTCTACAGAACTCTTGTTCTTCTAGAATGGCGGGTAAAAGTAAACAAACAGACTTACAAATTCTCAAGTCCAAACGCTAACATTAAATCGTGCTTATGCTTGTCCATGGAATCCACATGCTTATCCACATCTTTTTTCTTGAATGGCCAGATTAAAGACTTCAGCTTTCCGATATGATTTTGCTGTTTCAAAAATGTAACGAGTTCCTTCTTGATGCCATCAAGCTCAGCCTTACAAAGCGACAAAGTCCCCGTTTTGTTTTCCAAGAGAGTTTGGATGTTGATCGAAAGGGTATGTGGCAGATCGTTAATAGACTTTAGTACGGTTTCGAGATTCTTGATCGAATGATAAAGCCGTCGTATATCATCGCGAGCACTCCTGACTCCTTCATAGTATTCCATTAAAGCCCCCCCGACAGCCTGAGCCATTTGTACCACAGCGATAACACTGGCAGCAGTACTGAGGCCGTCCATAGTTGTTGGGTTTGTGACGACAAAAGCAAATGCGTGCTGTTTATGTTAAAGAGATGAAATGAAAAGTATCTTTGGATCAAATCATCCAAGCTCTCTGTGTAAAAAATTGTCTGAATTGTTTTCATGAAACGAGGAGAAGGCTGAAGTGCTGACTGCCCAAAGCCTCATGTTACCCATCTTTCGTTTGCTCACCAATAACGGCCGATGGGTAAACACCCACTTGCCCGAAGTAGCATCTTACATCTCGAGAATACAAGGATCAATGAAGCGTGGTAAAAGAAGATACATTTTGTTTTGAGCGACGTGTAAATAAATGAGTTGTAGGATTCTTGGAGGTTAATGTAGCTTTGAGGAGGGGAAATAGGTACATAGCATCTGAATCTGTGCGTCAAGAAGTCTGATTCTCAGAATTAATATCACATGACTATCATGTGATGGCGAACCTACCATGTCCGGTGGCTCTAGAAGGTCCCGGATCGGAAGTCAGAAACTTCACATCGATGTACCCGGGGCCAAAAGGGCACACTTCGTGCACCTCTTCCCTCCCCTCGTAAATGTGCAGTTGATCAAAATCACTATAATCTATGATCAGCTTACTTGAGCTTGGGATTTTTTCATATGATTTGAACCCAGCCAAACTATTAATGGTTGTGAACTGTGGCCTAAAACCCTTTCACTATTACTTACGGTACTTCGTACTGACATAGTACCTAGTCTCAGGCATGTTGAAGATCTTCGTATTTGCAAATCACCTGGGCTTCCCCTCCCCTTACAGTCTTCGGACAGATTGCCCACGCAATCCGATGTTAGTGCAGATTGCTCTTAGAGCTTAGAGATTCTTGAGCGAACGATTATGCTGGTAAACGGTATAAATCATTCCCTAACCCCTAGCCAACGCCTCACCAATCCCAAAGTCTATAAACTCCCCGCCCTCAATCTCTCTCCTAGCCCACTCCATCCTCCTATTCCATACCTCATCACTTTCATATGCATATCTCATTCCCTCCCAATCATTTTCCACCGCTCCTGCCATCCACCACAAACGTTTCTCATGATCTGCTCTCCTTACCAACATCAAAAAATAACCCACTATACCCATCATCCTCAAATCTTTCTCCCTTAACAATTCCACGAATCTTGGGGGTACCAATGCCGGGAATTTAAGAATAAACTTAGTGATTTCGCCTCCGCCGAGGATGTTTAGATACTTGACGCAAAGAGCATAGGTTTTATAATCCGGAGCATCAAGCGGCAAATCGTCGAGGAGAAAATTGAATGTCGTAGGATAATCGTTATCGGGATCCGGCGACGTTTCATTCTGTAGAATGACCCTAAAATTGGCTTCTTCCCATTCAAAAAGTGTTCTCATGCCTTCGTTTTGAACATATGTTGCGGCTAAGTTTATCATATCCTTGAGACTTTTCATGGGGACGAACCAATGGAGTGGTACTCTACATGTTTCTCTGTGTCGTTCTGTATTGCTGCTGGAAGAGAGCGCTGAATTATGAGCTTGATTAAGGAATTTTTGACTTCCCGTAGCATGATACGTGATGAACAAACAAGATCCCAGAACTGCATCGGCTGTCTTTTCCGTAACACCCTCCTCGATGATTAATTTTCGATGTGTAGCAATAGCTAACCCCATATAATGATGACTCGCTTTTATCACTTCTCTCTCTGACTTACTTTCCGGTATTGTACTGGTAGGAAAAGCAGAAGAAGACGATGAAAATGAACTCCGGAGATGAAATGCTGAAACACCCAACAAAGCTTCCATTACTGAACGATGACGACAAGCGAGCTGAATGATCCATAGCGATATGTTGCATGCAGAAAATAATTGAGGAACATCGGTGATATTTATGAAGTGTTGAAATAGGCGGAACTCGAGTGCTTCGTCTACTCCTGACACGGTAGTGGAAATGGAAGTCGGGAAGTAGAAAGAAATGGGATTGCGTGGGACAGGACGCGAGAAATAAGCATTTCGTCGCGCGACAGTCGCTGTAGTAGGAAGAGGTAACTTCTTTGTGGGAAGTATTTGAAGCGTGGGATGATTGAGAGGTAAGAACATATATTCACATTGTATGCTATGCCTCGAACAATTTGTACATGTTGGTTTAGTTTCATCGCACTAGGGACGCTATTAGAATCGGGGATTGGCGGTGTTATTGATCAAAAATGGGGGTTCAAACCTTTAATCGCCTTGTCTTGCAGCTTTTGCACCCATACCTAGACTTTCTATGGGGTCGTCTTGTCGCTTCTTTGGGATTTGAAGACGCCATATTGATTAGATGAAGTCGCAAAGTGGTCTAGAGATTGTAAACTCATTGTAAGACAGCCAATGAAGGGGTGATGGGTACGAGATATCAAACCATATCTTACGTGATTTCTCATTGGTGGATAGCCAAAGGTGGAGAACAAGCACTGTGGCTTCATAAGCAATAAATCAACAGGCCAAATTGCAGAAAGCTGTAATCTCAAAACACTGGAAGCATTCTTGTCTTTCAATGGCACCCTGCAAATTTACCCAGTATATATTCATGGGTTGTATTCCCATACATCTCAGAAATGATAGATGGACCGCGAGAGGAACCCATCCGAATCTCCGGACAAATAATCAAAGTAACCCTTTAAAATCATCTCTTCCTTCTCCGTGATAGGAATAGCCTCAAAAGACCTGCACAACACACAAAATGCACAAACAAATGCACCCCAGGACCTCCCAAACCCTTCACCCCCTTTCCAAATCCTTCTCCCGTGACAATCCTACCTCCAGCTCTAATAGCAGGAGCAACATGATACAACGACAAAGCACCCGCGACATTACGACTTGTCCTATCGACAGATCGCGAAGCGAATATAATTGAGATGAGACATGAAACGAAAAGGAGCGTCGCGTATTGTTGGATGATGGTGTGAGCTTGTGGTGCTGGGATGGAAAGTTGAGATGAAGGGTTGAGGAAGAAGTTTACGGAGGCGGGAATTTCGATGAGGGTGTGGAGGATAAAAGGGAGACGTTGGATGCGAGACATTGTTACTTGAAGCGTGGATACAGGAATGTACGTTGAGGGAGAACATAGAGGGTATCCAGTACACTTCTGGAAAACACTAATCATCTTTTTCGAATGATATTTTTACATAAGCGAAACTCCACCCACAGCGAAGCTTGAATTCGGTTCAAAGTTCAGACTGATATCAAGCGGGGCGCTAAATAGATCTACACTACATAACCTCTCAGACGATCAACCTACTTGTAACGATATGTGTTGTCGAATTCCCTGCTTTCCCGCTGGACTTGCGCATCTTCCGAGATCTGATGGTCGAGCTCGAGCTATAGATTGCTTTTTTCAAGATAGCACACGCAACTCGGCAATGATTGTTTCGAAAGAGGAAATGTCGAATGTTGATTACATGATTAGATGAGGATGTCGCTTTTTTCATCTTGGGTATCTATGATGCTTCTATTGATCGTCCAGATTGTCTTTTCACTCATGAGGTAATGGTTGCGAGTCCCTAGATACTATTATTCGCTTGCTTACCTCTCCGTTGCTATTGTAAGAGCTACCCTTGTCGAAACGACTCAGTGACATACGCAGTAGCCACTCTCGATCCACTACGGTCGGTTTGCATGGATCAAAAAGATAATTCGGATGAGAATTTCTTAATCGAGTTGCATGGTTGAGAAATGGAATCATTTTGATTGGCATGTGAGAAATCGATAGTATATTGTTCCGTTATCTGATTTTTCCTTCAAGTATCTATCTGATAGCAATAATAAATCCTCATCCAAATTGCATCTCAATAAATTCAAGGAACTAGGTATCGGAAATCTACTTGGCAGTAAGGTTCTCATAAGCCATATATCCTCACGTTCTTCTCCCATCTCACATCAAGGGACCTACTCGTATGCACAAGGCTGGTCAGCTATTTTGATACATCTCACGCCCCAACCTCGGCTTTCCTTTTATCCTTTACCTCATCAGGGTAAGATACCTGGTGTGTACTCTACTTCCCTGCTTTACAAGTTACAAGTCACAACTATTTTATATTATAAGCTGTTAAGTATACTCATACAATCACACTCTTTAGATACTTCTATCTTTTGTTTTCACACCACACGCTCGTTCAATAACAGCCACCAATTCTGGCATTGTATTCTCTGACAAAATTTTAAGATAATTTCACATCCACACCTCTCAACCATGTCGAACAACACGGAAGGGCAAAACGCCCAACAACAATCTACCACTCAAAATGGATTCGGGAATCTCAATCTTTCAATCGTTGGATTGGGAGTCGAATACCCTCCATTTCTACTGGCACCTGCAGATTTAGATACTCTAACCAAACGTCACTATCCGGACTCTCCAGCGTAAGTTTTCCCTTTCTCTATTTCTCCCCTCCTCTCTCAATCCCTCTCAATCCCCCTCAAGTCCTGAAGGCCCAGTGTTCAATGCTCTCTACAACACGCCTCATACCTCACACTAACCCTCAATTCTTAGAATGAAAAAAGTCTGCACAATCAACAATTTCACCGGCATCGAAACCCGCTCCGCAATCGGTACCGTCGACCACCCCATGGCGAACATGGATCGCGCCCCCACAATCACCGAACTGTGTTCCATCTTCCTCAAAGACGGCGTTGCCCTCGCCGTAACCGCCTGTCGCAAAGCTCTCCACGAAGCCCATCTCCATCCCTCCGACATCACCCACGTAGTCAGCACAACATGTACCAATAGCGCTAATCCCGGGTACGATCATTTCGTGTGCAAAGCTTTAGGAATAACACAACCGGTTGAAAAAGTTCTGCTCCACGGAATTGGATGCAGCGGTGGTTTGGCAAGTTTACGAACCGCGGCAAACTTGGCATTGGGACATAGTTTCCGAGGGAAAAAAGCAAGAGTTTTGGTCATGGCGTTGGAAATTAGTTCTTTATTGGTAAGAAGTGAATTGGATAGTGTACATGAATTGCAAGAGACGAGAATTGGTGTCACGCTCTTTAGCGATTGTGCCAGTGCGTGTGTACTCAGTAATGGGATTGGTGGGACGGGAGAGGAGGAAAGTGTTTATGATTTGTTGGGATGGGAACACAAGATGATTCCAGATACTGAACATGATCTAGGGTTTGATGTTGATCCGCTTGGTATGTTGATATTACTTTTTCCGAGTCCTATATTCACCCCGATTTTTGGTGCCACACTTTCGAGCAAGACAGCTAATTTCAATCCCCATAAACAGGTTGGAAAGTAATCCTCTCTCCACGCGTCCCTAAACTCGCCGCCGAAGCCGTCTCACCCAGCTACCATTCCCTGATTTCCAATCTCCCCTCCCTCCCCTCCGAATACCGCAGTCCCTCTGACTTCGACTGGGCACTTCACCCCGGCGGCGCCACCATTCTCACCGGCGTCGAAAAAGCCATGTCTATCTCCCCCGAACACATGAGAGCCTCCTACGATACCTACATGAAACACGGCAATTCCTCCAGCGCCACAATTTTTAGCGTTCTAGATCGTTTACGCTGTAAAGACATGGATGGTCTTACACCCAATAGCAGAGGACCCAAAGAAATGATCGTAGGCTGTGCATTCGGTCCTGGTATCGCGGTGGAAATGTGCATGTTGAAGAGGAATTTACATCATGTGAAACGAGAGTGGGATGGCGGGGTACAGAGCGGGGTAGGTGGGGAAGTTACACCGCCTTTGACGGAGAGTGAGGGGACGAGGAGTGTGAGTGGGAGTGAGGGCGAGGTGGAAGTAGAGGATTTGCAGAAGGTGAAAGAGGAAGGGGAGAAGTTGGATCGGAAATTGAAGATGGTGGAGCCGGGGGTTTTGGAACAAAATGCAAAGCTGGGGGAACAGGGGAAGGAAAATGAGAATGAGACATTGGATAGTTTGGAGGAGGCGATGGATGGGGTCGAGCTGGATTGAGTGATGGGGAATGAGTAATGCGGAAAATAATTATGATGGGAAGTTTGGATGATATATAAGATGCATGGGTAACGAATAAGCTGATTGGGTTTTGGGGGGGGGGCGGCTTATAGCATATCAGAGTCAGAGACAATGAATATTAGACTGCCGACAGCGCGTAGATAGACTGATGTCTTGAAATAGACTTCTTTACAGCGTGCGAGTATATAGAATATTGCGATGCGAAGTAGGTTTTGGAGATTAAATTTCTGGAGTTTAGATTCTTCTCCTTGCTGGAGAGTATAGCGATATCTATGAGAGGGCTAGGGGGTGTAATGATTGGTACCTCTTCATGAAATTATAGATGAGATGAGAGGAGAGGAGAGGTGGTGGTAGAGATACATTGAATTCTATTCTCTCGAATTCATCTTTCTTTTTCTCTTTGCTTTACTTGGATAGGTAATAACAATATATCGTAATCCACATGGGGTATTTTATACTTGCTATTATATCGATATCAATACACGCCATACAACTCATCCCACTATGATAACTACTCTCCCCTCTCTCCTCTCTCTCCCTAATCAAACACAACCTTCTTTCCACTAAAAGTCGCCTTGGCCTTCTCATCCTTCGCCTTCTTCGCCGCCTCCCAACTAGGATGCAAAACGCCCACATCATCTCTCGTCTTGACCTTCTCTCTCGGCTTCACTTGCATCATATTCGCATTATCTTTGTCATTTCTAAAATCGCCTCGTTTGCCTTTACTCAGATCTCTAGCCTTTCTCCCGCTCTTTTCCGCACGCTTTATTTCGCGTTCTTGTTCGACCGAGAGCCCGCCCGCCGCAATGTGTTTTGCGCCTTTGCCGAATTTTTTCTCCCAAAGTGCTTGTCGGGCTTTTTGGCCCATGCGGTTTTTCCGTACGACGGGTTTCATGTCGGTGTCGGAGAGGGAGGAGGCAGATTCGGAACCGGACCAGTAGCCCCCCATGAGGGTGGGGAGGAAGGTGCTGTTTTTTGTGGATTCGGTGGGAGTGGTGGTTGATTTTTTGGGTTTTTTTAGTTTAGGTTGGGGTTCTGGGGAGGGGGAAGGGGAGGGAGAAAGTTTGCGACGGGGGATGGATGGTTGGTCATCTTCTGAGTCGGAGAGGGAGATTGAGGGGACGGGGGATGGTGATCGTGATGGGTTCGGTGAGAGGGAGAGGGAGAGGCGTGGATTTGATTTCGAGGTTGAAGGATTTTTCTCCAAGTATTCTTTTTCGTCGAATGATTCTTCGTCTGACGATGCGCCTAGTAGAGCGTCGTATCTTGAAAGTGTTTCTTCGTCCATTGATTCGCCTCCTTCATTATCCTCATCATCTTCAGAATCATCTTCGTCTTCGTCGTCGCCAGGTGAATCAAACCCTTCCCAAGAATCCTCTTCATTCTTTTTCTTTGACAATTTTTGCATCGTGTTTTCCATATCGACATCACTATCATCGCCCTCATCTTGCGCCGTCTTCTTCGAGTTCTTCTTCGAATCTTCCTTCACTTTCTCCTTAACCTTATCTTTCCCCTTCTTTCCCTTATCCATAACCGGCGCCGGTATTCCCATACTCATATAACTCCCCCTAATCACCCCCTCCCAAACACTCTTCACATTCTTGAAATTCCACATCCCACTAACAACATTATTCCAAATCTTCACATCCTCCTCTCCCTTCTCTCCTTCCCATCCCTTCACCCCTTCACCATTCTGTCCCCATCCCGGAGGCAAAAAGCCACTCTCACTCATAACTTTTATTTTCCCCAGTCCCCTTGCCAATCGCTGTTCCGTAACTTTATCCAAATCCATAGTTTTCAACGCTTCAATTTCTTTTCGTATCCGCGCCATTTGCGCCGCATCGCTTGCTTTAGTCGCATTTGTCAAACGTTTCCCGAGTCGTTGTCTTTCAAACCCTTTTGCGGTTTTGAGTGCGCTGCGAAGTTGTTTGCGGGCGGAGATGAGATGGATATTGAAGTCATTTTGACGGGAATTGCGTACGCGGTCGGTCGAGGGAAGAGAATCGTCCTGATCGGCAGAAGAGCGCTTACGTTTAGGCATTGTTTGTTATATTCTGAGTCAATTGCGAAGGAATTGAGGTTTT